CCCACAAAATGCTTTTAGCCTAGCGATTTTATTTATTGAAGAGGGTCTGTCCAAACTTGTTTTTCAAGAAATACTGGCTTTAAAACATGCATAAAAGAAAAGCAAAATACTACAAATATATGTCACACTTTCACTCCGAGAAAAAATATTAGTTTTTTGAGGAAATTAGTAAAATGGGAAATTAAGGCATCAAAATGCAACTGAATGAGGTTGAAAACCATGACAAATATTTAACTTTTTGCACAAACTGCAGAAACCCCCCAGAACCACCCCACTCGCACATCTGCACTCTTCCAAAATACCCACTGCCCTTTGCTACACTTCATGCACTTCCCCATAATCTCCATTTATCCTTACCAGCTGCACTCCACTACCCACAGCTTCAGTCATTAAACTGAAATATGAACCAAAAAATGAAGAAACCAGGAAAGCAGAGGCAGGAAAGACAGAATAATAATAATAAAAAAGTATAACTATCTCTTTTTTAAAATTTCCTCCGCCTGGCTGGCTGACTAAACTGTGTGTGCATTTCTAAGAACTCAAACCCACCATCTTGAGGATGGAAAACAGTCCCATTGCTGTGCGAGGTGGCAGGCTTTGCACCTTTGTCTTTTCCAGGCAATTCACTTTTTACACCTCAGAATACAATTGCACCAGAGCTGGAATAAATTTACAGGGGATGGTAACTATCACCATTAAGAAGTGCAGGCGGAAAGCATGTAAAGACTTTAATAATCAAGATTTGCTTTAACAGTACAAACCAAGCAAAAAAAAAAAAAAAAAAAAAACAGTGAATGAAAAGATTGGAATAAATCCACAGTGCTAATTAAGCAAAACAACTAAGGCACAAGGCATTTCCTCAGGACTGCTGAGCAGCTGCCCAGGGAAGGGACAGAGAGGAAGAGGCTGGATGTGAGGTCATAGAACCCTGGCAGACATTAAATCTCAGTAAATTGTTCCTACCAAAATGGTGGTCATTATTATTATTACGAGACACAAAGTTAAAACTGACAAATGTTTTTTGTTATGAGTGACATAAGTCAATATATTGAAAATATTTCTATAAAATAGAGCCTTCAAATTTTTCATACTTCAGGCAATGAGGAATAGCAAGCAACACAAGACCTGTAAAGTGCTGTGCCAGAAAAGAATGAGGAATTATATTCTGGGCACGGGAAAACATTATTTAAATTTAGTAATCAGCAATGTCACCCTGATTTGTTAATCTAAACACAGACACCTATAACTCATTGAAATTCCATAGTTCGGGTTTTCAATCCAAATATTTGAGCATTCTTTTTTACATATTTTTCTATTTCAGCTTGATTTAATATAAATAACAGCATCAAAACTTTCATTACAATAATTCATATGAACCCCAGACTACTGGATGCCAAGGTAGCTAAAACTCACACTGAATTAAAATAGCAATTTGCAAATTAAGAATGCAAGAATCTAGCTCACATGCCTCTGTAGCCAAAGTAGAGAGCTCTCCTAAAACCCTTGAGGGCTTTTTACTTGTGTTTGAAACACAAAGGATTAGATTTCTAAAGCTTCTTTCTGAATTTAATTGGACAAGTATAACTTTTAAAGTAGTCCATCTGCCTGGAGCACAGCAGTTGTGATGGGAAGTGGAGAATGCTACTGCAATATTTGGATAAATTCTCAAATAAAACAGTAAAAAGCCTCCAGTAATTAGTGGATGATAGGAGAATTCAGAACTTGGCACTGGAACTTTATTTGCAGAAACCGTTTGACTTGTTTATTGTGTATACTTGTTTCCAGTGAACAAGCAGCACAGTGATTTAAGCGACTTAATGCCAGTATACCATGAAAGTAAAATTTGGTCTTAATGTACATATTTGTTTCCTTGATATCTTATGCAACATTTCTCTCTGCAGTGAAATCATCCAACACTCATTTTCCTCTAAAACTTAATAATAGAATAATATCAGATTATTACTTGGGTTAAATTATATTACATTGCTTAAATGTTACATGAGGCTAGATAACAGTTCGCTATATTCTGCAACAAGATATTTCCCAGTGTACCCATCTCATCAATTCTTGTAAATTAAATATGGTAAAGTTTGTGTAATGCTTAAACAAAAGGTACACTAAGAAATTTTTCACTCTGAGGGTGGTGAGACACTGGCCCAGGTTGCCCAGAGAAGCTGTGGCTGCCCCATCCCTGGAGGGGTTCAAGGCCAGGCTGGATGGGGCTTTGAGCAACCTGCTCTGGTGGGAGGTGTCCCTGCCCAGGGCAGGGGGTGGGACTGGATGATCTCTAAGGTCCTTTCCAACCAAAACCATTCTATGAGTCTATGATTCTAATGAAACCACCAGTGAATGAACAGGGAAGAGGATTAATAGCAAATTAACACTAAGCAGGCAATTTAGCCCCACTATTAAAATTCACTGCAATCCTAGAAGCAAACTGTGTTGCATTAATAAACATCCCATAGACTATTTCCCACATTTTGCATAAATTTCTCCTATTATCCCTGTTCTATTCTAACAGCTGGTTTCAGATTTAGCATAGGTTATTAAAAATACAGGTAAGATATTTCACATACAGGTACATCTCATGACTGAGTTCTGAAATTCAGGACTTCAAATCTGCTACTAGTCCAGCACTTTTCATTGCATATACCAAATTTTGGCTCAAACTATTCTGGAATGATTTGAGTAGGAGAATTCACGTTTGTGAAGAGGTCCATCACACAGATTATTTGGGTAAGAAACTGCAAAACCATCCTTAATACTGCAGAAACCTAGAGTGAGAAGTCCTGGATAAAATACATAGAAGTTAAATGTGCATAATTTGAACAAAGTATATGTGGCATACATTCACCTATATGGCCTATCTCAGGAAGGCATAAAAAAATCTAATCTTGTAGCAGAAAGTTTGCCAACAAAATTCTATCAAAGTCACTTACAGTTTGACATTAAAATATTGAAGCAACAAGATTAGTCTTGGCCTATGTGATTGCTAGTGATATTTGAAGCTGTTTACTCACGTGGGTGAAGTGCAAGACTTAGTTTTCACTTTTACTGCCTTTATATTGTCTTACTGCAGCTCTAATACATCATGTGTTAATTAGCAATGCATCGTTACATGTCTTTCCCACCCCCTGCTGTGCCACTGGTGAACACATCATAGCATATGGGTTCATATTCCAGGAAGAGGGAACAATACACTGCACCACCCTTCAACCAGTAAAAGGTACCATTAACCAGCCTGGGTGTGACAAAAACCATCCATCTCTACACACGAGCAGAAACTTGCAGACAAGCCACCCTGGTCCATCCATAACCTGCATCTGGAGTGACAATTCAATGGCACTTCCAATTTCACTAATAGTACTGCTTTTATAGAATAAATACAGAGATCTTGAAAGTAGTCGGTGCTCATTACACCCTAACCTATGAATAAAATGTCCCTGTGTCAAACATCCTCATAATTGAAGTGGCAGCTGTGACAAATGGGTCAAAGTTATCTTTTCTGGGGTACAAAAAAGATTAGTGGTTACATTACACTTTAAAGACACTAAAATATTTGCAACTAAAATTTTGGTAGGAGCTGGCTCCATAATAAAATATGTTCTCTTCCTTTCCTCCAGTATTCCTAATACAATACGTGGTTGTTACGACTATATTATTGTCCTGGTTTTCAGAAATTTAAGTCTTAGTGGTCACTCAAAATCTTCAGTGTTTGTTTTTTCCCCTCTGAGCTCTGGAGAACCGTGACAAACCACAGCTTTACAGGCCAGTCTCCTGCATGCAAGCTGAACAGAACACTACACACGCGTGCTGTCAGTTTCAGTCCTGATTCCCAAATAATTGATACTGCATGGGAAAGAGATTTCATCTCCCCAGAAGAGGCTCCATTTGCATAATTCACATTAATTACATCAGGATAATTAATTTTTCCTTGACCAAGAGTTGTACTCAAATCCAAATACTCTGAAATGAGCATCTCTCAAAAAATAAAGAAAAAAATTTGCATTTTATTTGAACTGTAACTTGCCTCCAAATTAAGAACTCACATTTGTACTGTTCATTTTTTAATAAGATGATTTAATAACCATTTTAAAATATAAAGATTTATTTTTTAAGTTCTATATTTGGGACCAAATTCAGACCCACACATGAATACTGATCCCAAAAAGAAAACTACTACCCTGAGTATTATATAACCATTTTGGGGGTTTTATATTTCATACGAAGAAAAATTCAGGAACTTCAACATTATAAAACATTCCTCAGTTTCTGTACAAGTATCTCACTGTCAAAGCTACAAAACCACTGGAGAATAGAAGTTGTTAGGAGACAGCAGAAGAAAATTACAGTGTTTGGCAGTTTGTTCATCTACAACTGTTGTCTTTTTACTTTCAGGAAACTTGGCTGGTTATTCTGCATTTGCTGGTTATTGAGCCTGGACCACTCCTTGATGCCAAAGCATTTACAGAACTTCCACAACGAAACAGTCCCTGGGATATGACTGGCCTTGTTCTTGCATCAACTGAAGGAACAACTAAACACAGATAACTCTTTTCACTGAAACCCACCGGATGCTGGATTTTCACCTGGTCAGAATTGGTTGCATTTTGCTTAACTGTTTGGGAAGATTAGTTTCATTTGCAACATTAAAAAGATGGCTGGCAAAGAAAAACTCTCTCTGAAGAAAGCAATTCAGCTTGGTATTAATGGATATATTCCATCAGTAAAACTATGCATCAGAAATGAAAAGGCCCCAAAAAGTTATTATGCTTGTTGTTTAGACAACATGCAAATAAAACAGATGTGACTGGTCCATCATTAAAAAAAGAGCTGGATCACTAATGCAGAGCTGACTGTCAAATACGAGCCATGAGGAAAGCCATAGATTCAACACCACCTTTAAATTAGTGAAGTGTAAGCATAACAGTCTGTTGCAAAATGTAATATGAAGACCATGTTACCTTCAGAACACAAGAGTTTCTGCATTCCCTATCATAACAGCCTGTTGCAATTTTGTAATACGAAGACCATGTTAGCTTCAGAACACAAGAGTTTCTGCATTCCCTACCTACAAGAAATCTTTCCTTAAACTCGATATTTAATTTCTTGATCTTAGGTGTTTGGTCTAATCAGCAATTAAATCTGAAAGAGAGCATGTCAGATAAAAGTATACACAGTAACAACATGCAGAATGAAAAGCTTAGCTTCTTCAGGAGTAAGGTATTCATCTGCATCTTGGAAACAATCTTAATATACGGTTCAAATGACAAATGAAATGGGTCGCAAAGAAACACGTTACTTACAGACTTTAAATTGTGATTCAATGGCCCAGCAAAACATGAAAATGCGCCCAGTGCTACTGAAAAGGAACAGTCTGGATTCAGCTGACTTTATGAGGCAGCCGCACCACCGCAGGACCAAATCCCAGCAGGTTCGATTCAAGGATGATGGTGTGAACACAAAGACAGAAATGGACACCAATCCTGCCCAAGATATAGCATTCACAACCAGAAAAACAGAAATCTTTAGGGATAACGATTTTTTGCTACATCATTCTCCATCTTTTCCAAGGGCTCAGAAGGGGCTTCGGAATATTGCCATACAAACATCTCCCAGCCTCAGGAAACACTTCCCGGTTTTCAAAAAGAAAAAGCTGACAGTAAGCAAATCATTAACAGAAATGCCAACTGAGCCTACGAATTCTATCCAAGCCAATGGCAGTCTTTCAGAACACGACATTATGTCTTCTGATCTCTGTTATTTAAGAATAACTAATGATTTGGAAGATGGATTTGGGAATAGTGAGGTGGACGGCGAGTTAAGTCAAAGACCACCAAAAGCACAAAGCAATGGACCTATCCACTCAGACGATTTCTCAGCATCAGAGAAGACAACTGTTTCTACACAGGTGCCTGAATACATACACGTGAGTTTTCCACAAGACAGCAATGTTTCCATGGATGCACCAGACCCAACCATGAATTTAAGTAATTCACTGCCTTCTTCTACTGTCATAAATAGCGATGAAAATAATGAAAACAGCACGCTGCCATCTAATTGTGAACAAGCATACCCTTGTCTAAGCAATTCTACTAACTGCAGGGAATGTAATCCTCATTCTGACTCTTGTGAAGCAGATAAAAGTGATTCCGAGTTGCTTGTAGCCAGCAAAGATGCAAGCAGTAAGGAAACTACTCCATTATCACCTCCATCAAACCACAGTTCATCTTCTCTCCTCAGAGACTACCAACAGGCAGGAGAGCACAGAACAGACTCCAGTTGTGTGACATTAACGAATGATGATCACACAATAATGTCATTGACCAGCAGTAACGCATCAAAACCTATTCTGTCATGTAATACTGACACCGAGAAAAATTCTACTCAGTCAGATGTTTCCCAGTGTAACAGCTGTTTAGAAGGATTTCATATAAAGTCTTATCTGCCAAGGAATGAAATAAACCCACAAACCAACAAAGAGATTAGAGAAATAAATCAAATTCATTTGGCACGTGGTGAACTCTCTGCCCTACAAGGCAGGCTGCAGTCTGTAGAGGAATCCTTGCAGTCAAACCAGGAGAAGATTAAAGTCCTTTTGAATGTAATCCAAGACCTGGAAAAATCCAGAGCCCTAAGTGAAGGGTATGGTGCATTTTAATATCAGTAATTCATCAGCAGTGTAAAGTAGATGTTAGCATTCTTTTAACCTTTGCTACTAAAAAAACCCACTTTCCTGCAATATTTAAAGAGGAGTTTGCAAAAACGGTACTTTATGCCTTTTTTCTGGTATTTGGGGCTCAGTAGAGAAGTAAGTCTCTTTATAGGTTGGCTTTAGCTGACACTGCCTTTACTAAATCCAGTGAGAGTTTATTAACTCCCTTTTAAATTTTGATTTATGGTATCAGATACAAAGCCACTGAGCACTTAGAGCTGGCAGTCTCCATCTAGCTAAAATCTGGATGCAGTAGAACAACAAAACCTAACAGTCTAATACACTAATGCAGTACAACAGAAAGCTATGGCAAGGCAACCAGCTCTAGCAACGATCAACTAGCAAGGTCAGGTATGCACACAGTGCCAAAGCAGTCCTTTTGCTGAAAGTTTATATCAGCAAAAACATGTTTCTGGCCAATGAATTATTACTGCCTGCATAAGCAAACAAAAGTATTGGGGCTAAAGCACAGCATCTGCAGACATTTGGGGACCACACTGCTAGTTACATTTCACGATAACACAACAACATAGCTGCCTAAAGGGAACGTCCCAGGGAAAGGGGCACAGTGCCAGGCAACTTCAAGAGCTTCAATGTCAGGAAAATTTCACAGGAGGTGGAGGTAGGTGCTTAAAAGGGATTAAACCTATGAATATTCAGCATGGGAAGACTGTTAGCAAGAACTCACTTGGGAATCTCAGAGTTCAGAATGACTGTGCTTTCTGCACTATCCTATGGATGCACGACCTGCATTTAATTGCAGTATGTTCTCATGGGGACTACTAGCCAGGGCTGCAAGCATTTATGTAACTTATCTATGCAACTCATTTATGCATTATAAATAATAATAATAATAATAATATAAGTGCAACTAATGTCTAAACATTAGATATTTTTATAGGACAAGATTAAAATAGAACTTTAATATTTCTATGCTCAAAACAGGTTTTAGAATATCCTAATAATGCCTTCCAATCCATTAACAGCAGCTCCTACTTATAGTAAAAGTATCTAGGATACACTTTCCAGTTCTGTTTTATGATAATGCAGTATATCCATCAAGTAACTTGTCTTTGAGGAACCCACAAATAATTTTTTCTAAGTATCAAGAGAATAAAGGTTCCATTTTATTTTATTTTTTAAAGATAAACCAAAATGAAGTCCATGTTAACATCCTTTTTGATACCTAGCACAGCCAGCTTAGGCATCTGGAATAATCATTTATGCGCAACTGGTTTGTGTGTAAAAAAACTGCATCCTTCATTTTAAAATCAGACCATGTGTACCAATAGTATTTACTGACTACTATTAAATAAATAAATCTGATAATCTTTCATATTTCCACAAGCCCTGCAAACATCACCAAAAGAAGGCTGCATTGAGATTTTTGTGTAGGTTCAATCTCACAGAAATAGCCCAGACCACGACACTGATTTGCCTGACTTGGCACCGAGTCTTTGCACTTGTTCCCATGCGGACAGAAAAGGTTTGTGTGGTTGTACAAAAGCTGTCAGGATATAACTAACTGAAGCCACAATTTTATACGGCCCAATTTTCTTACAGCTTCTGAAGAAAAATAAATCTATTCTGAAGAATACCTTTTTTCTCAACATATTCTATCTGGGGCTTGAAATTACCTTCTTGCATTTCTGATAAACAATTCTCCAACTTGCATTCCAAATACAATTTATACTCATTAAAAAAAATTAAAATAATATAAATCAAGTTGACATGTGATTTTACTCTGTACAGATTACCTTTTTTATCTGGAAACATGAACCAGTAATATCCATCTGGCTGTTAGCATGAAAATACTTCTGCTAGTTTCCACTATGCCCACGTAAATTTTTATTTCATGTAAGAATTTCCTCAGACAATTCAGGTCCAACTACCTTCTCTCAAAGAATCCAGAGCCCTAAGTGAAGGGTATGGTGCATTTTAATATCAGTAATTCATCAGCAGTGTAAAGTAGATGTTAGCATTCTTTTAACCTTTGCTACTAAAAAAACCCACTTTCCTGCAATATTTAAAGAGGAGTTTGCAAAAACGGTACTTTATGCCTTTTTTCTGGTATTTGGGGCTCAGTAGAGAAGTAAGTCTCTTTATAGGTTGGCTTTAGCTGACACTGCCTTTACTAAATCCAGTGAGAGTTTATTAACTCCCTTTTAAATTTTGATTTATGGTATCAGATACAAAGCCACTGAGCACTTAGAGCTGGCAGTCTCCATCTAGCTAAAATCTGGATGCAGTAGAACAACAAAACCTAACAGTCTAATACACTAATGCAGTACAACAGAAAGCTATGGCAAGGCAACCAGCTCTAGCAACGATCAACTAGCAAGGTCAGGTATGCACACAGTGCCAAAGCAGTCCTTTTGCTGAAAGTTTATATCAGCAAAAACATGTTTCTGGCCAATGAATTATTACTGCCTGCATAAGCAAACAAAAGTATTGGGGCTAAAGCACAGCATCTGCAGACATTTGGGGACCACACTGCTAGTTACATTTCACGATAACACAACAACATAGCTGCCTAAAGGGAACGTCCCAGGGAAAGGGGCACAGTGTCAGGCAACTTCAAGAGCTTCATTACGTTATGAAAATTTCACAGGAGGTGGAGGTAGGTGCTTAAAAGGGATTAAACCTATGAACATTCAGCATGGGAAGATTGTTAGCAAGAACTCACTTGGGAATCTCAGAGTTCAGAATGACTGTGCTTTCTGCACTATCCTATGAATGCACGACCTGCATTTAATTGCAGTATGTTCTCATGGGGACTACTAGCCAGGGCTGCAAGCATTATTTATGTAACTTATCTATGCAACTCATTTATGCATTATAAATAATAATAATAATAATATAAGTGCAAATAATGTCTAAACATTAGACATTTTTATAGGACAAGATTAAAATAGAACTTTAATATTTCTATGCTCAAAACAGGTTTTAGAATATCCTAATAATGCCTTCCAATCCATTAACAGCAGCTCCTACTTATAGTAAAAGTATCTAGGATACACTTTCCAGTTCTGTTTTATGATAATGCAGTATATCCATCAAGTAACTTGTCTTTGAGGAACCCACAAATAATTTTTTCTAAGTATCAAGAGAATAAAGGTTCCATTTTATTTTATTTTTTAAAGATAAACCAAAATGAAGTCCATGTTAACATCCTTTTTGATACCTAGCACAGCCAGCTTAGGCATCTGGAATAATCATTTATGCGCAACTGGTTTGTGTGTAAAAAAACTGCATCCTTCATTTTAAAATCAGACCATGTGTACCAATAGTATTTACTGACTACTATTAAATAAATAAATCTGATAATCTTTCATATTTCCACAAGCCCTGCAAACATCACCAAAAGAAGGCTGCATTGAGATTTTTGTGTAGGTTCAATCTCACAGAAATAGCCCAGACCACGACACTGATTTGCCTGACTTGGCACCGAGTCTTTGCACTTGTTCCCATGCGGACAGAAAAGGTTTGTGTGGTTGTACAAAAGCTGTCAGGATATAACTAACTGAAGCCACAATTTTATACGGCCCAATTTTCTTACAGCTTCTGAAGAAAAATAAATCTATTCTGAAGAATACCTTTTTTCTCAACATATTCTATCTGGGGCTTGAAATTACCTTCTTGCATTTCTGATAAACAATTCTCCAACTTGCATTCCAAATACAATTTATACTCATTAAAAAAAATTAAAATAATATAAATCAAGTTGACATGTGATTTTACTCTGTACAGATTACCTTTTTTATCTGGAAACATGAACCAGTAATATCCATCTGGCTGTTAGCATGAAAATACTTCTGCTAGTTTCCACTATGCCCACGTAAATTTTTATTTCATGTAAGAATTTCCTCAGACAATTCAGGTCCAACTACCTTCTCTCAAAGGGCTCCTCTCAGTCAATTTTCTCTATCCGAAAAGCTCAATTTTCTAGCACCAACTCTGTAACAGCCCAGGCACAACAGACAAAATCCAGGTAGACACAGCAATAACAAAATGCCAAAACACCAAAACCCAAAAGTTTCATTTAGAAGCAAGATCCAAGGCAGGGGCAGAGAATCCCAAGTATGTCTGTAGAACATTTCATACAATTATCACCTGACGACGGACTTGAGAAGACTGCACAAGTTCTCCCCAACATGTAGTTATGTACAACAGAGTGGACAAGTTTCAATTATCTTTGAAAATCTGACCATTACAAAGAGTAACTTTCAGTAAAGCACCTCCAGATTATTCAGCAATATTTATAGGCCATTTCTGTTCAGTTCCCACATGGTCAAAACCAAACATTTTGCCAAATATCTTGAAGTTTCACACTGAGATTCAACACTAAGTTTCAATCCATCTTGCTAGAATCATCTAGCAATAAACCAGAGCATTCCAAGTACTTGTGGAGGTGGCACAACACCACATGTGAAGAACGCGCACTTCAATTTCAATAGGAATCAGACAATTATTTCAGTACCAACTGAACTCCCCTAATTCAAATGAAACTCATTACATCTGAAGGATGTAATAACACTTATATTTAATGAGCCACCAACCTCAAACTGTTTCTACTACAGATCTCTCCATCACAATGATAATTCCGCTCTGGTTGGTGTTAAATATGAAAGTCACTTCTCTTTATTTTCTCAATACTCCAAATTTGTATATAATCAGCAGTAAAAATCTGACTCTTTTATACTCGAGTGAGGAAACATGAAAAGGGGAAAAATGGCAGGAATAAAAGTAGAGATCAGATAAACTCACCAAAAGTACAGATATTTAAATACTTAAAAGTGTGCTTAGAAGAAGCAGTTGCATGTCTAAATGTTTTCATAAGAAGCATTCACGCCAGAACCAACAACTAGATCTTAACAGCATGAAGTGGGAAAGATGAAAGACAAAACCAGAAACCAACATAGCTTTTGGGCTTTTTAGAGCAACCTTCCAATGTAGAATTTGACACCAGAATTTTTAGTAAGGATAATAGAAGCGGTGAGCAGAATTACTTTTATTCATGAAAGATTCAAAGATCGGTTAATGTTTCTATAAATACACATCACATGAAGTACCTTCTATTACAGGCGTAACTTCTATCACACCGGGCAAGACCTCAACAACTGCAGCACCTGCCAGAACACCGCATGCATCATTTACAGGTACTTCGCTCCTTCACCCCATTTTGTATTGTCTGTATCTCTCTCACAAATGTACAATACAATGTTTTGCTCACAGCTACGAAAGGTCTCAGTTATTATTAATCCAGTGCTTAACAAAAGCCCCAGTGATATGTGTGAGGCGGTTTGTTTGTTTTCCCGAGTAGAAAACAATTAATATTGGCGTTATCTGAAAGAGGTGCTGTACTTCTCAGAATTCCAATAGAAATTTCCCACTAACATTTCACAGCATTATTATCACGAGAATGCTTCGAAAAGCTTTGATGCCATTTCTGATGATAAATTTCCCTTCGTGTGTTACATTTTTAAAGCTAGAATTTCTGTAATAAATTTAGATCTTGGAAAAGATAAACACTCAATTCTCCAAATGCCAGTAAGCCATAGCTACAGTTCATGTTTATGTGCAAAACAAAAACAAACCTCCCACACTTCTCACTTCAGTAAATGTCTATTTGTTATTATTTTGAGAGAGTGCAATTTGAGTGTAAGTTACTCCGAATTTAAACTGCAGTTTATGTTAAATTCTTATGACCAAAAGCTCTGCAGTACTGTGCTCTGGAAGCCCTAAACATTTCAAAAGCTGTGTCTGTACAAACACACTGTAAGAGTCTTCAGTTTGCCAGCCTCCACGCTGGTTCTTTTGAACCTTACCTTTATTTCTGTGCACGTATCTTCTCTTAACTAATTAACATCTTGGCTCTCCTTCGACATCAAGAATTATGGGTTTCAATGGAGAAAATTAGTTACGTTCTACTTTCCTGTTAACTAATACCATTTATCTCAAAGACTTACCTATTTGCTTAATTTCATATATTTTTAGTCCTAGCAGGTCTCCTAGCAGGAGACATTCCCATTTAACAAAGTTAAGGATGTGAGAGTTTTGAGTCCATGCCAAGCCTGTGACTGAGTTAGGTACAGTATCAAAATCTGAGGACTGAATAAAATGCATTGAAAGGTCATCCTAGTATATTTTCTTTCCCCCCCCCCTCATTTTTTGTTTCATTGCTCTGGGTGCAATGCTGGAGTTCTTAACATACAGAAAGAAAAAGGTTTGCCTCAGAGAATATGAAGAGATAATTTAAAAGCAGCATCTTATAACCTTGTGTTATAACATTCCATATGTTTTGTAAAGAGGGAATTTCTCAACTTATTAAATGTCTTCATTTTTCCATAGTGTAGAATATGACTTCAGACAACAAGAAGGAAGATTTCATCAGATTTTGAAAACGCTGGACCATGCAGAGCAAAATCCAGCTTCAGCTTCCCCTCAGAAGCCACCATCTGATCATCCAGCTCCTGAGAAAAAGGAGTTAAGAAGAAAACCAAAAAAGGTGAAGAGAAAATGCTTCTGGTGGATTTGACTTCCTTATGGATCCTTTTACATTTCAAAAGACACTAGAACAGAAAGAGGTTTGAGAGCACACACCTGAAAAGGTGCTATTACAAAATCACAAAGCTAAAGAATATTTAATTAGAGTATCTAAAAAATCAAAAGAATTGAATTTACTTAAATCGTCTCACTGATTAAAGGCTCATGAAGATACTATTTTCAAAAAGAAAATGTTTCTTTCAAAAGGAAGCTTTCTCATTTTTTCCATGGACACTTTCATATGCTTTGTAAAGAATTTTTTTTGACTTTCCAAAAATATCAAGGTTTAAATCTCTACTTCAAAAACCAGTGGTAGACAACATGAGGGGTGTCACAGTCTTGATTTCCTGTTTATAAGCAACACGGACTAAAAAGAAAGAACTTCATTGATATTTAAACAGATGACATAATGAAGAACAAATTTAGAAGAATCTACATTTTTCAAACAAATCTCTCCTTGAAGGAGTCAATTACAATTATTTTGCATCCACACTGAAAAGATTTTTGTTGCTGTCATCTAACGTTTAACAACAAAAAATTAATTTCAGGTTAAGTTTTAGTCTGTCCTTTTATTGGTTCAATTTAAAAAGCAACCATCTAGAAGTTTCAGCCATTCAATAGACTTCTCTGTAAAGAATGAGAGAATCATAAAACAAGAGTGTTTCTTGGAAATTCTAGTATTAACCCCCTACACAAGCAAGGTCCAATGAGGTGAATTTGAGTGCTGACTATGTCCAAAGACAAAAATCCCTAAACCCTTGGGACAAGCTGTTCCAAATTTTTTCTTAACATCTAATCTGAGTTTCCTATGTTCTAACTTGTGTCCATTACACTCTACCCTATGCAAATACACCTTCAAAAAGAATTAGATAATAAGACCTCTCTTCCTCAGCCTTCACTTCTTAAAGACTGAACAAATTTAATTTTCACTGCCTCTCTACACATGTATGAGCTGCAGCCCGCAGTCATCTTGATGGACTCCCTGCAGGGAGCTGATGTCTTTCATCTACCTGGAAGCCAAAAGCCGGACACAAAGCCTCAGATGTCATCACACAATTGCTGACTAGAGGGGAAAAAAACACTTTAGCTACTGTCTTGCTAAACTGCTTGCCCTATTCGTCCATTTAAGACCCATATCAATAGACCAAAATATACCAAGATGTGGAATTCTGGCTTTAAGATTTAAGTTGATACATGATATAAAATTGATCATAAAAAAAATATTTAATGAACTTCTCTGTATTACATCAATTATATATGACAAAAAGATTTTATCAGATGTCAATGCAGCTATTTCTTTCCTTCCAAACCAGTCAAGTTACCAGCTAGCACAGGGTCTGCCAATGTAACCGAACTTAGGGTTGCCGATACTCTTATTTTGCTCATGAAAACCTGGTCACCTTTCATACAGGGGGTAGAGAGGAAAAGGTTATCCAAAGCAAGTTTAAAGGGCACACTGTAAAGCTCAATTAATGTATTTTATGTTTAGTGGAATGTATTGCAGACCTTTCCTTAGAAGTCAGTCTGGTTAATTAGTTCAAATGGTGCCAGGGTATTCAATAGATTAACCCCTGGATCCTATTTTTCTAAATCATATTGTATTAATTGTGCAATGTTATTTAAAAATGTCTGTACACTTTTGTAAACTTCTGTGTTCCTTGAATTCTTAGGGTTAATTACACATTTGAAAACACATTAAAAACAATTTTGCACAGAATAATTTTGTCTGGAAGAACTAAGTTTTTTTGATAAAACTAATCTTCAGTTAGAAGAGAGTCTATTATGTGACATGGCCTAATTTATCCAAATTGTAAAGAATTTACAGCTTTAAAAAACATTTCCTTGTTAAGTTCATTCAGTACGGAAATAACATTCCTTTATTTTCACTATTTTAAGAATTTTTAAAATTATTGGTTTAGAATTTTTATTAGCCAAAAGGATGCCTTTATTGAGACAGAAAAGCTCTTCAATAATAATTTGTGAGTATAACAAAGTTAAGAATTAAATTATTACATGAGAACATGCCATTATATTACACTCAAATACACATCCTTCTTATGCTGGTATGCCAACAGCATTCCTAGCTTGCATTAGTCTCTATAATTGATATAATGAAGGATTTACTAGCTTATAAATGGTTCTTGCATATTAAAATAACATTCTAAGATTAACTTCCTCTGAGGTAAAGTTATAATAATAAGCAACACCAACAGACGTTACACTAGCAAACCCAGGGATGTTTTTCTGTAACAAACTGATCTTCACTAACTTGTTATTATATGAAAACAATATTTTTGACCGTCTTTTTGTTAATAAGCACAAAAAAGCTCATTTTAAGCTGTCTGATTTTAGTTTTGACTACATAACGGCCATGATGCCTTCAATACATTTTCAAACCACCCAGATTATTCAATTTAAACAAACCATGGCATTTTGGTTCACCCCGTAGCACCAATCAATTCCAGGGGCCAGTAAAACTACACAAGAACATAAACACTCTGCTTAGTTTAAGTAAATTCAACCAAAGATAGATTTAAGTAAGGCCTGAACGAGCATCAATACTTCTAAAAGACTGAAATATACTGATTTAAATGGTTAGAAGCTTTATATTTTAATGTCTGGTCTTGACGGAATTCCAAACTGTAGACAATTTTTAATCCCTAATCTCCCAGTCAAAATTAGGCTTTGTTTTCCATTTTCCTCAGATGGCTGTTTTTCAATTCTCAGTCAGTAAAGTATAGATTATCCATATGTGGATACGAAATTCTCTTTTTAATATATGCACACACAGCAGTAGGGAAACGCTTAAGGTATCTGGGCCAACCAACTCTCAGCTCCCAATGCTGCAATTTAAGAACATTCACTTGTCTTTCGGCCTGCTCTCTGTTCAGAGTTTTAAAATCCACCCCCTTCAAGACATCTGTTTTCCTAGGAAGAAAATACAAAATTACAGTGCTGCTAGAGCACTGTCCTTCAGAAAGGTTGCTCCTAGAGTTCTCCACTTCAGTACAACAAAGGAGATTTTTTTGAATCAGCATTAGTAGCAACACACAGCCAAGTTCTAAAATACATGCTTAAGGTCCAAACAAAAGGCTTATCTGAAACACAGGCAGAACTCCCTCATTCTTCTTGCAGAGGTTCAGACTACTGTGAGCAAAAACACGCAATAATTTAACTGAAAATAAAGTATGCCTACAAAAGGATAAGCATCACAGTTTCACAATAAAATGACACCTACTAAAAGCAAGAAGTTATACGCAGATTTCTCCACAGTATGTCACACACAATAAGCTTTCTATGTAAATTTTTAAAGACAAAATTGCTCCACAATTTTTGTGGAGCAAAAGGTTATTTGTTACATTAAAGGTGACAGTGGGAAAGTGTCAGTCACGGTATGCATCGACCACAGCAAGAGAGTATGACTGCTTAATTGTTGTATGTTTTGTTTAGATTAAATGTAAAAATTTATATCCTAGCAACACAAAATAACTAAAAATTTATAGCATTGTAACACATTATTGGAGAATCTAAAGTACATGAAAATGTAATATGTAAGCGTTGCTTTTTATTGCTTCATTTTTTAACTGTTTTAATAACTATTAATTCATATAAGAAATAAAAGAATTACCAGATAAACACTATGCAACTTATGGTGTCAAGATTGGAAAAGCAATGGAAATTACTCCCAGAGTAGGGAATAAATGTTAGAAATACACACAAACATGCCCTTAAATAAAATTTTAAAACCCATAAAGAAGCAACAAACCAAGAACAAAAAAACCCAAAGCCACAGCTACTTGACAGCACTTGCATATAAAATATTGTAGGCTTCTCTGAAAGACATATTTAAATGACAACTGCAATATGCTATTTATAAAACTTTGCACAGAACATGGCATATTTCAAAATTACTGTATTTGAAATTGCTGTTTTCAGAGCCAACCTAACTTTCTTCAAAAACTCAGAATGTACGAATAAAATACTGATTTCTCTTGGTCATGTAACAGCAGCTCATGTAGGGCTTTTTATAGTTTTGTGCACTATAGCTCTTTGAAAAGGTCACAATACTAAGTAATTATGCTAGCTTAGAAACAAAACAACTTCCTAATGAAATGTATTATCTAATGTATGTTTTGTAAATTTCTAGGTTCTTTAAATGTGATGTTATCTTTTGCAATAAAATGAGATATTTTTCTTAGGTTTCAGGAGTCAATTAATAACAAACAACAGATGACAATGGAAACCAACAATTACTCTTTGCAAAAGGAAATTGAATGGGAAATGAATAAATAGGTCTTTCACTGAATTATTTGCAGCTTTTCTAGGTAAAGAAAAGATTTCAATTTGATTACCAAATAAAAAAGCTGTAACTTTTAGCCAGACCATGCATATATTTGAATATATCATATTGTCCAATCAGTGCAGATCTGTAAAATGCTTTCTCTGGTCATTATTTCCCCAAAGAATATCGATTTTTGCAAAAGTATGTTATCTAGAGTAGCTTTGGTTAACAGAGCACAGTGTTTTCAACTAAGTCTTTATTTGGACATTATGTTACATAAATATTGTCTAAAAGCTTTTTTGTGTAGCATGACAGCATGACATCTCTTCATCATGCTAAACGGAGACTGTGAACAACATCAAGTTTGGGTGTACCAAAGGAAAGCTTTAAGTGCATATGGTGGATTTATTACACTTTTGTTTACCTACCCAAGCCAGTACCAAAACCAAGTACTTCTGTATTCTACATGCTTTTATACATTTTACTTCTCTAATTACTGTAGTAGGACTTCACTACATCATGAGGCCTTTTTACTAAAAATCTAAGTTTCATAAAGTATTTAAGATAAAGCTTGAATAGCCAGTTTCAGACAATAAACTTGCCCCTCTATATTACAAGTTTAGAAGCACTTCTACAGTGATAAACAGTCAAAGTTTTTTTTTTCCTTTTTTTTTTTTTTATTAGTGAAAATAACCAAGCAGCTGTTAAAGCCTGCAACTGCCAAAACATCATAATCAAGGCAAGAGTGCTTCTCTGCAGCAGTTGCAGAGCCAAATTACTTTTCCATCACCAACACCCTCTCCGGAAGGGATTATGCCCTTCTTAAGCCTGCCTGCTTCCAGTAATTACAGGAGCTCCCAGCACACTGCTGCTACCAGCTGAGCAAAAGGCAGCACCTTCCCTTGGATTCTACTGGCATTGCAGCAAGAAAAGATAAAGACAACTGTAACTCAAAAATCCATTTAACCCCCTCCTCTGCCTCCAAGCTAGAAGATTGTGAAAAGGACACATGACTATGAACATTAACCTGCTTATCCCTGACAGAAAGCAAAAAAAAAAATTAAGGTAAGTAAAATCCAGTACCCTATCAGGTGCAAGACATTTCATCTTGCAAGGTCTTGTAAATTGTACCCACTGCCTTGTAACAATACTATTAGAGTTGGTTTTCACACCCTTTTCAAATTCTAGAAAATTACACAAATTACACACCAGAATGTAATAATAACACTTGCAATCTTCAGAAACACAGTAACAGATTTAAGTATCTAAATAGCAACCTTCTGTTCTCCCAGAAGTGAGTAACAGATGTAGTCCAAATTTGAAATGTCACTCATATGACACCAGCTACATCATCTCCCTGCAGCTGTACAACTCACCTGTATTTGCAGAGGTCACCATACTTCTAGCAACTTTAGCTCATCTAAGAATTCTGCAGAAGGCCACAATTCCTGACTACTTTATTTTTAAAAGATCAAGCATTCAGGCTTTCAGCAAGTTTGGCCCTGTCAAGAGCATTTAAAGCAAACCTGCAAATTAACTGAGTGCACTAAAGGTAGCACATGGAGCATGTACTGAGCTTATCTTGCCAGTTCTTTCTGAATAGACTGTTTTGTTCATTATAAATAATTTCTTCACATATAGAAAGCCCACTTTGTTGAGAGATCTTGCCTCAGCTCCAGAAAACTCTTTGTAACTTACTTGGATTCTGCCTTGAAAAACATCTAAATACACACATATGCTTATGAGAATTATTCACATTCAGACATCTGGATTTCAAAATTCACATGGGATTCTGTATTTTTAGGTAAGAACAGTTGAACAAATTACAGTAGATGAGATTAAAAAAAAAAAAAAAGAAAAAGAAAAAGAATAACAAATGGATTTTCCAAGCTGTTTCAATTGACTGTAACCAGCTTGTTTCCTAATGTTTGCTAATGATAAGGATCCTTTTTGCAGTTTTCTGCAGTTTCGTTTTGCTGTTTATGGTACCCAGACATAATCCTTAACAGACTGATTACATCATCCATGACACTCACACAATGCTTTCTGTGCAAGTACAGAAATGTGGATGAATTGCAGAATCTGCCCTTGAATGTAACTCTCAAACCATGGAATCTCCCCAACAATCTCAGGTGAGTGCTCTGTGCCAGCACATCCCCAGAGATTGTCCCTGTGCACAGAGGGCACCATCTTCCACCTCCAGAACCAGAGCCAGGAATGGCAGCTGTTCCATGGTAACTCCAACCCACCCAAAAAGCACAGCACGTGGCAAAACTGGGAGAAACAGAGCATCCACCAATTATCTATATAAGCTATTCAGAATAGTGCTTTTTCTCTTTTCTTTTTTTTTTTTAAAGTTTTACTCAGACACTTCCACTTTAGATCAGTAGAAACACTATTTTCAATGTGTTAAAGTGAGCGCTTTATGCAGGTTTGTAAAACATTCTTCTTTTTGCAGACAGCAATTAACTTCATATTTAATATTTGTTTTTTGAAAGAATGCACAAATCTCACAGTATTTGACTACACTTCAAAAGACACTACATTGGCACGGCTGAATGAAAAAGAAGAGTAAAGCTTTAGACCTTTTATTTTAAATCTAAAAAAATCCATTAACAAGAGCTCCACAAAAACTGTATTTGCATTTTTCAGGATAACTATAAAATTACTTTTGAAGCATTTAAAAAACATTAAAATATTACTCACAATTAAGGGATCATCTCGTCCCATTGTAATAACAGTTCGGTTCACGGTGCGTAATAGCTGTACCATTATTTCTTGAATATGGTCATAAGTTGATGCCTGTAAATGAAAGAAACAGTTTTGGCATTAAATCCACATCTCTTGTAAAAAAGAGAAAAACCCCATTATTTCCAAGTTGACAGTTTAAGTTGTATAATATAATCACCCTATTGAAAGAATGACACTAATTCTTCTTGCTCACACTGCTCCTTATTTCCAGCAATTCCAGTGGAATACTTATTTCAAGGGGCACAGTCCAATTTTAGCTCTTTCTACGCCATAACTGGTTTTTGTTTCAAGCAGTCACTTCGCATCCCTCACTCAAGGGACTTCTGTTTTCCTGGTAACTGAGTAGTCTATACCTTAATAGCAACAACCTGGCAACAGATTGAGGTAAATTGTATCCTAGATCTCAGGGTAGTGGAGCTCAGTAATATTCTTAGCTTGCAGTCACAAAGTTAATAATTATTAAAGTAGAAAGTCATCTTAATTTCACATTGCAGCTCTGTGAGGGCACAAACTGAAGATGGTCTGCTCTTTGGCCCCATTGCCAAAGCACCAGGCAGTCTGGCTGACTGAGACTGGGCTACAGACCCACCTCCTGGCAGCACCAAGCTTTCATGAACCGGTGCAGCTCAATGGCAAATATTCAACAACTACAAAGATTGTTTCATTTACAGAGGTCTACACAGCTTTTTGATTTTGTTTTCAAACCATTTTGTATGTTCTTCTTGAATTTCAATTATAGCAATATATTTTATGACTGTGTACTTCTGTCCAGAAGTAGTTTTTCATCTTTTATTCCAGAGCATCGCTTTTTTTAAAAGCAAACATTGAAATTGTTTAAGTGTAGAAGATTTGTTACCCTTGTACATTGAGGTACCAATCAAAATTTAGCATTGTGTTTCAAACAAATATTCTCAACTGCTGTAAGAATAAATCCTAGGTGAGCAGAGCCCTATGGCAAGCCACCTGCCATAAAATACATAATTTTATTATGCTCCCAGTTAACACAGCAGTAGAGGAAAGGTGAAACAACCTAAAGTACAATACGTTTATACAATTATACACCCTGCTGCAGAATTTTCCATTTCTTATTGTTTATCTATTGGAAAATACAAGCATCAAAACCAGAAACTGCATTATTTGTGTCAATTCCTCCCCATAGCTACAAAAGTTAAACACAGCAATGGCGTATACCTTCATCTCAAACATAAATCAAGGCCCTAAAAGTTCTATGTCTATGCCTATTTCAGCAATTGGGTTCAGAACAATTTTGAGGCGAATCCTTAATCCTTACCATTTACCATGCATCTGAGTGGGTTTTTTGCATACAAACTAGATCAGTTTCAGACAAAGATAAACTAGAAGCTCCTTGACAGTGCTAGAAATTAAGACATTAGATTCATGGTCAATGTTTGGGTCACACCAATATAAGGTTCCCCCAGCATGTTTCTAATCTGTTTGCCTCAGAAAGCTGAGCCATACACGTAATGGTGATGTCAACCACAGCATCAGACCGTATCTCACTCTGTGTAAGGTCCCCACGCCAGGTACAACAGATTCATCAGACACCCCACAATGAACCACATGAATGTAGTGGTACATTTGTGTTGTAACACATCCCTTGCCTTGACTGCATCGGCTGTTTTGGTAATATCTGCATCAGTGGGGAAAAAAAAGCACCATTAAAGGTGAAGCCACATTAAACAAAGTAAACATGGTATAGTTTTTTGGTTTTCTTTTTTCTGATACTTCTCAGTATTCATTTGAAGGTATGCAAAGCCATCTGCTCTAACAGTGGCTACCTTCTGACAACAGTCTCTAAAAGCACTAAAACTCATAGCACGTAGTTTGCAGCGCAAATTTTCTTTTCACCCAGGAAAGATACTATGCCTCACTACAAGAAATGCAACACTCAAACAGCTTTCTGGTCAGAACTCTGTCCATGCAGCTACCATAGCCAATGTAGAGGGAGAAACTGGCAGCTCAGCTGGAATTGTTATCTGCAGCACTGCAAGAAATAGTCTATGAGTCTACGATTTGGACTCTGTTACAATTAAAAAAATATTCATTA